CCCCCTCTCTCTCTCTCTCTCTATCTCTCTCTCTCGCATGTGCACGTACCTGTACTATTTCATGTAAAAAAATGAATTGCACATACATTCTGAGAAACAAAATTCAAGCTGTATATACCTCAGAAATTGAAAATTTCATAAATTATGATTCAAGAAAAAAGAAATAATTAAAAATATTTGAATACCATGTAAAGTATATACTATCTATCCAAAAAATAATCCCACAATAAGACCTTTATCTTTGGGTCACATGATTCTTAGTAATATTATTGTATTATCATAATAGTACTCACAATTGTGATAATAAAGATTCGTTATATGGCTACAAGATAAGTGTTTCTAGAAACATTTATTTTTCTTGTTTAATTTTGTTTTCTTGTTTCTATTGTTTTTAACGAAAATTTGATTAAAAATTTTTTTTCTGAAAAGTTATATATATCCTTCACCTTTAATAAATGACAATTTATTTTATATAATAAACAGCATTATATAAAAAAAATATAAATTTTCAAACAAATGGTCTTTTTGTGATTAAAGAAATTTCTATTCAGCTTTTTTTTAAATTAACTTTTTTTATAGAACTTCAATCGTAATTAATAATATAGGCATATTCTTGAAAGTTTGATGTTCAAATAAAAAATATATATTTTTAAAAATATTTTTCACGTGCGCAAGAAAATATTGACAGTTAAAAGTGTGCATTAAACGCAGTGTGATAAAATCGGCACTCGAAAAAAGTATGGTGTTCTAAAGTTAACATTTTTATAAGTTAACATATTTAAAACAACTATAATTTTCAATTATACACATACGTATTGACGCACGCACAATGACTTGTGTATATATAACTCGCGACAAAATAAGTACTTATCTATGACTTTTATGACACAATTTTTTGTTTAAAAAAAGTTACTGTACCAGATAAGAAATCTCGAGTGTCTCAATCATTTAATCTTTTCATGAACATTCCCACTTCGGAATTCTTTTTAATCAGTTGTTGAATATCTGTATAGGAATATATGTGAATCGGTGAATTTTTCCTCGTTGAAATCACAGAAATATATATGAGTACGCTCATTAATATATAAAGCGGCAGAGGCGGCACTTGATTCCAATTACAACTAGATATCCGTCTCGACTGATACTTTAAAGACAAGACCGAGTGAGCAATCGCAACGGGCATCGTGAAAGGCAGACACAACCCGAAGTTTCCACGAGGTGTATAATCGCTATTACGTTTCGGACGTGAAACACGCAAAAACCGGTACAATAGGTGTGCAAATGTGTGTGAGAGAAATTTTCCAGGTAATTATATCAAATTTTTCTCAACGATGTTATCTGCTGATAAAGTGCTTACTATTGTCTTAAAGTGTGCAGAATATTTCAAAGACTCTTAGTTCCGTACGAATTTCTTACCGTGCTGCAAGTGAGTACAGATTAGAGGAAAAATTTTTGTGTAAATGTGAATTCATGTAAAAATTCTTGAAAGAAGAGTGCTTAAAAAATGTCACACTATTGATATAATTAATATTTTCCTAATTATTTTTCAATTAACCCATCACGTACTAATGACTAAATGCGTGAAAATTTTTAATTCTATAATATTAATATTGTATTTGTCATATTATACTGTTATTATACCAAAGCAATTTTTCATTGATCATTTTTGCTTTTCATCCTCAAGCATAAACGACCACTGCGTTAGCTGTTAACGTCATCACATGCAACTTACATTGCGCTAAAATTCTAACGTACTTTTTATTTTTTCGGAAATGCTTGAAATTAATTTTCTTAGGGACGCAAGCCGCTCATGGCTGTCTAGTGTAAGCTCGATAAAAACTCACGGGATTATCCAACATCCCCCTAGGAAATAAAGGCTTAATTAAGATTATCGCTTTTTTTCGGATGAATCTTGATAAATCTGTAATTTTGCCCGTCTCTCGTCAATTTCACTGAAATTTAACGTAACAACACGAATGTATAAAAATTACATTAACGTGAATTAAGTCATTTGTATTTCTTAATAAAATTAAAACCAGTTATTATAAGAAATTAATTTAGTCTTAATTATTAACCCGCATACAGTCTCTCGAACTTTAGGAAGAGATGAAAAATGCGAAGATATTCTGTAAAGTTTGTGTTGAATAAACTTGCAGCAAATCTTTTCTTCGCAATATTTTTAAACTGGGTCATAATTAGTATCTGACATTACAAATTAGCTAAAACTAATTTTAGGTATTAAATTTTATGGTAAACAACGAGAACTTTGATTAGCTTTATACGGGCTTTATTTTAACAGAATATTATCTTAAAGTCATAGGTTTTATATATAAATATCTAATAATATGGAAAAAAATTCCAGTATACGAACACAAGGTACCAAATTCGTTAAAAAGTAAAAACATTGTTTTTTCTCGATTCGCGCACAAACAAATATACAACACGTTAAGCTACACTCCATAATATACAATAATAACAATGATAATAACAACGATAATACTATGTAATGCAGTAATAATACAAAAAACGAGTTATAAATTTTATTATGAAAGTACTATTAAAAATGAATACTATTATGTATGAAGCAAAATTATTCTGTTGTCAAATATGTGTCTTTATATAATCGAGCACTCTGATAATCAAATCTTTTTCTATTTCATTTTTGCCTCTTCTCTCTATCTTCTATTATTTTATCTTATTACAATTCCAACATATCCATTTCAAATCCATTATTCAGGATATCAGCTGATCTCTAGGATGCGTTCCAAAATTAAACTTTAGTTACCATATTCTATAGTATGGTCGAGTTTTTTAATTCATTGATGGATCTATTGCATGATGCGCAAATGCAATGTTTCGCTGTATTTACGCATCATGCGATAGATCCATCGATGAATTAAAAAACTCGCCTTATACGACATGAATTATAGAATTATAGTAACCAAAGTTAAATTTTCGAACGCATCCCTGACTGGTTACAAATACCTGTTTAGAGTGCGTGCGCATTCAATTCTCGATGAGTACGTATACACCTGTATTTAGGGTTTGTTTTTTATTGCTGAACTGGGCTCTAATTCTCGAAAATATATTGCATTCGATATTTAGTGAAAAGCTATAGTTTATGGGTGCTTTCCAATTGCGTATACTGTGTTACACAACCAATAAACCAATTTATTGGTTGCATATTATCTTACAAGATATTTTAGATAATATGTGACCAATAAACTGGTTTTGTGTACTTGTGTGTCAAATGTGTTAAGCAATTGGAAAGCATCCCATGTTACGTATATTATAGTTTCTCACTAAATATCGTATATGATATATTTTCGAGAATCAGGGGACCGTATTCTTGAAAAATATCGTATACGATATTTCGATAAAAAAGCTATAATATACGTAACATGAACTATAGCTTTTCATAAAAATATCGTATGCGATATTTTTTGAGAATAAGGCCTTAAGGCCTTGGCTACACTAGTTCTCTCTCATCTTTCTTCTGCCAAATTTTATCTATCTCTTTTTAAGTTCCGAAAGTATACACTAGTTCAGCAATAATAAACAGGGGCCCTATTCCGTACCCACTCATCCACAATTATCGGATCGGTAGACGTCGTTGCGCAGCTTTTCTATGGTATAAAAAAGCTGCGCAACGACGTCTACCGATCCGACAGTTGCTGGTAAGCGTATATGGAATAGTGACCCAGATCTTTTATATGCGGCGTGAGCTCTATTTTGTAGTGATTTATTCTTGGTTAATAATAGTTGCAGAGTTTTAATAGTTTAAAGATAATTAAGAAGATTAATGATGTAAAATATTATCAACTAATTCTAAAAGTTTTTGTGAAAATTAAAAGAAATTTTTAAAATAAAAATAAACATAAGAAAACGTAGTGGTAGATTCTAAGAGAAAAAAAATATAAAAAAAGATATAACACATATATATAAAAGATATAATACATAAATATAAAAAA